CCAAAGCCCCTCCTACAGAGCCCCCCCTCTCCTTCCCAGCCTCTGGGGCCCAAAGTGTTTCAGCCTGCCGAGAGCACGCATTTCAGTGTGTGTCATGTATGAGAGGAAATAGCAGGTGTGAATGAGCCAAAATTCATTCTTAAAATCTCAATTCCTCATCCTTACTTTGCTTTCATGTCTTATTTCACAAGATGCCTTTGTTAACCAAAGTGAATATCTAATAAATCATTACAGATCTGGGAAAGTACCAGTCTAACATAACATAAAATAAAATTCCCTTTTCATTGAAGAATTGCAAACATAACTTCAGACTAAGAAGCAGGGAGAGAAAATTCTATTCGTTAAAAAATGTAATACACACTCTTACCTGATCGTATTCCGAAGCACCAGGATAAAGAGGCCATCCCAGGAACAGCTCAGCTATCACGCAGCCCAAGGACCACATATCAATAGCTTCACAAAATGGCAATCCAAGAATAATTTCAGGGGCTCTAGCAAAAAAAAAAAAAAAATAGTTGATAAAAAGATACACGTTATTTGGGAAAATGAACGGTACTGACTAAGTTCTGTTTTAGTATCAACTAAAGATACATTGATTTAATGAAACTGAAAATGATCTTTGGTATAAAATCCGTCATTTGAAATTCTCGGGGCCACATGTGTTTTGGAATTGAGAATTTCTTTAATTTCAGAAAGGTACTACGATGACTATTCTATATATTGCATAATAATCCCAAAGGAGTTTAGGAGAGTGCTCAGAATCAAACACATTAATGTTTCTGCAACAAAACAGATGAGCAGTCATACTAAGTCAGCTAAACAAAGACTTCCAACTGCCTTACACTGGTTCAAGTCAGATCTTTCCAATCAGTGAGTTTATACCAAACTCAGGAAAAGATTTTTAGTTTTTAGAGCTTTCTGAATTTTGAAATCATAAATAAGGACTCGGGGAATTATTCTTTTTACTTAGTACCCTTTTAATTATGGAAGAACCCATTAAATGGCTGGGTCAATAAATCCCTCTGTGGGACAGAAAGGCGTCCTAGAGAGATACAACGGCTGACAGCACAGACCAGAGCCAGCCTACCCGGGTTCAGAGCCTCAGTTCCTCTATTTCGTAGCTGCAGACAATTATTCATCTCTCTGTGCCTCAGGTTCTTCATTCATAAAATGAAAACAAGAGGAACCCACTGCAGAGGCTGTTATAAGGTTTAAATAAGCAATTAATAATAGTAAGTATCAAAGGTCTTGGACAGTAAGCTCTTGTACTCGGCACATATAAAGTACTGCCTAAGCGTTAGATATAATAATAACTAGTAATATTATATGATCATTATTTTTAAACTTTGAATTCTTTTCATTTCCATTAATGCTCCAAGTGAGAAATGAGCCTTAAAGAGAAGACTAAGGCAAGCCCATATACTTAGAGCTTGTATATATGAACACATCCAAGGGAAATTGTGTATCCTCAATTATAGAGGAGGAAACGAGGCAAATTACTAAGTAATTTGCCCAAAATCACATAAGTGACAGAGCTAGAATTTGAATTCTGACAGTCTAGCTATGGAGTTGAGTATATTTTACTGTGTCTAACGAAGTATAAGTTAAGTACATACCTATCTATAAATATCTATTTGGCATGATGGTATACCATGGCATTTTGCAAAGTGTGTCTAAACTTAAGAGATCAATAAATGGGTTCAGAACAGGAATGATAATAACAGGTAACACTATTATCAATAATACTAATAGGTGACACTTACATAGTACTTACTATACTCTGGTTTCTCTTCAGATCGTATAAATCTTTCGCCTTTTACATAGTACTTACTATGTGCCAGGCACTATTCCAAGTTCTCTATAAATGTGGTCATTATAATCCTTACAACAATCCTATGAATGTACTACTACTTTTAAGCCATCAATTCTAAGATGCAATTTCTTTTACATTTTAACATCTCTGAAACTAAGAAAATTCTTGCAAACCATGGTGTATTTTAGTTTAACGGCAGTGCTTTCACTTTCTCGTTGGCACCTAAGTAATGTTTCACCTTATAACCAAGGTATCTTGGCTTCTATGTAATAAAGTACAGATGGGAGGAACTGGGCACTGAGAGGGGAGGGGAGTTGCCCAGGGCCACACAGGGACTGGGTGACGGAGTCAGGCAGGCTTGAGCCAAGGTCAGATCTCACTTTAGCACCTTCTCCAAACAACTCCCTTTCCTTCTTACAAGTCATGGCATTTGAATCTGTAAGGACCCCAGAGGCAGACCCCTCCTTTTAGGGGAGAAAAATGGAAAAGCAGGTCTTTCCATTGGGAAGCATCGAACAGACCGCGTCTCCTTGTGGAGCGCCCACATTTCCCCAGCTGTACTTTCAGGTCATGTGAGCTTCCTTGGTGTGTGTGGAGGGGGCGAGGGGCAGAGATTGAGTGGGGGAGGGTATCAAGATATTTCCCTAAATAAGAATATCCTCCCCAAGTTATTTTCTAAGAAAACAGGGTAAATTAGAGGGCTCTATAGAGTCTAGAACAGCCGTGGGCAAACTACGGCCCGCGGGCCGGATCCGGCCCGTTTGAAATGAATAAAACTAAAAAAAAAAAAAAAGACCGTACCCTTTTATGTAATGATGTTTACTTTGAATTTATATTAGTTCACACAAACCCTCCATCCATGCTTTTGTTCTGGCCCTCCGGTCCAGTTTAAGAACCCATTGTGGCCCTCGAGTCAAAAAGTTTGCCCACTCCTGATCTAGAAGCTTTCCTGATCTTGCAGAGAAAGAGCGAAAGACCCAGGCCTGTCCAGACTTACACTATGTGACAGCTATGGGTGGAGCTATTTGATGTGAATGAACTGTGGTTTGTTAGCCAAAGAAACAACCATCAGAAGTGCCATTCCTGTGCAGGTGGCTAGAGCCACATGACTGATGGAATTTCAGAGTGAGTGCAATTAAATCCCAACCACTATGGCATGTTTTAAGGCAGCACAAGTTTGAGGGTATGAGGACCCAGAAACATAAAAGCTTTTCTAAAATTGAAAAGGAACAAAATTTTACTTTCAGTGAGTAGAATCATTAATTTCCAAGTTCGTGACAGTGCCAAAAATAGCTGGCAGGGAGCATGCAAATGGCTTTGTGCCCAAGTAAAAACTGGGCTTAGAGCATTCCTAAGCATCAGCTGGAGAGCACGGATTGATTCTGCCATTCCCACTATAACAGGAGGACATTTTAAACCCCAAAGGGTAGGTCACAGGGAGAGGCCAGCACCCAATAACTTACTTCTTTAAAAAGGGAGCAGTGATATGTGATAAAACTTTAGCTTTCAGAGAAACAAACACTAATTCCAGCCCTTAAACCCTATTAAACTTACAACAAAAAAAAACCCCAAACCTTTGGAATTGGCTGGAATCAGTCTCACCCTGCCTCTGGAGTAATAAAAGCAGCTAAGGATTTCAAGCTCACTCAAAACAGTAAGCTCTACCATCTACCATACAAAAAGGTATCAAAAGAAAAAAAATGAAAGCAGTCAAAATAAAACAAAAAGAAGGCTGTTCAGTCTGCTGAAGCACTTTTCACTATCATTACTCCTAGAAATGTTAGACTTACCTAGACACTGAACAGAAAGGAAATCATTTAGAGCATGTTCCTCTCTAAAGACTGAATGTTTTCAACTCTGAATTCCGATGATAATTCTTGCTAATATTTTCATTACTGTATCATCTTGCCCCTTGGCCTCCAGTATTTCTCAATCCCCTAATATAAACGTTTATCTAGACTCTGAAATTCCGGTTCTACTTCATCTGTGAAATAAGCAGGCTGAGTTAGATAATTACTCTCCTAGATGGCTTTCCAGCTCTGATGTTCTAACAGCTGGGCAATAAAAAAGATTACCTATTAAAGCACAGGCAAGAGGGGGGGAAACAAAACTGGCAGTGTTCACTTTAGTACAAAAATGGTGCTATTGCACTTCG